TTCTTTTCCGGTCAATGGGAAGCCCCTCAAGTACTTCATTTCTAACAGCGAAGTAGGAAAATCTGCTCGTTTCTAGAATGCTACGGTCACTAGGCCTGTCTCTTATACACATCTAGATGTGTATAAGAGACAGGTGTGTGTATGTGTGTGTGTGTGTGTGTTTTGTGTGTGTGTGTGTGTGTGTGTGTGTGAGAGAGAGAGAGAGAGAGATGGAAGACCGGAGAGGGAGAATGGAAAAGGACGAGCCGATGTCATATACCTGGTCAACGAAGCACCCCCGAGCTGTGGCGTTTCTCAATATTTCATTCTTCCTCACTGCCCTAATGTTCACCGACTTTATCATGCTCCATGGCTACTCAGGTGCGACTACCTTATTAACCTCGCCGTTCTCCTCTTCCTCGTCTTCGTGGTCTACTTCTTCATTTTCTTCTTCTTCTTACTCTTCTTCTTCTTCTTCACCTAGCGGTGTCATACGTGCCCATGGTGGTATCGCTGATTCGACGTTTACGAGGAGGAGCAGCAAAAACTCGTCTTCCTCCTCCTCCTCCTCCTCCTCCTCCTCGCCTTTGCGTGTTCTTCTTGTTTCGGCTAGCCGTCCTCACTGCACCCCCGATCCTAGAGATAAGGGCGATACAACTTTCCAGTTGGCTGTGAAGAACAAGCTGGATTACGCCTACCGCCATGGCGTAGACACGTGGTTCTCTGTCGACCTTGTCGACGGCGATGGCAGCCCATCATCAGATCGAACGGCTGCGGCGAAGCTCCGAGTGCTGCGGGGCGTCATGGCCACCGAGGAGCTGTATTACGACTGGTTCATGTGGGCTAACTGGGATAGTCTCATCACGGACATGGGATTTAGCATCCCGTGGAAGAAGTACCAAGAGTACTCGGTGGTTCTGTTCGCGGGCCCAAACGGGACCACAATTGGCGGAGGCGGTACTTCAAAGGAAGAAGAAGAAGGGAAGCAGAAGGGCAAGGGCGCCGCCGAGGGAGATGACGTAAACGATTTGCTCTCCGGCGCGCTGCCGTCGGTTATGGACACGAGCGTCATGCTGTTGAAGAACGACCAGCATGCGGTCGGCTTTTTGGATCTCCTCGTCGGGTTATGGGAGAGTTCCTCCTCTTCCTCGCCGCCATCGGACGGTTCTACGGGGACGACAGGAGGATCGGGATCGGGATCGGGGTCGGGCTCGGGGTCGGGAACGAAGACGAGCTTGCGGGAGGAGCGGAGGCAGAAGACGCGCCGGATGAGGGCGGGAGGAGAGGGAGGCGATCGTGGAAAGGCAGAGGTGTGGAGGGGAGAGAGAGTGTATGTCGAGAGGAGCTTTGATGTGCGAGGCTCGTGGGGAGAGGAGGTGGGAAGACTCGACAGGTATGAGGCCAACCGTTACTCTCTCCACGCAGCCGATCGCCAATCTCTACCGTTCATCGTCAACTTCGAGGATTGTACCATATGTCCGAAAGGTCTGACTGCTGCGACAGACCTAGACGGTTGTCGTCTTCAATATTTACGGGCTTACAACTTCGCCCACCATCAGGTAATGGAGCGTAACGGACTCCGGCATGTGAGTCTGACGTCCGAGGAGATGGTGAGTGTTATATAAAGAGTGTCAAATCAAGGTAGGAGATGGTGGTAGAGGCGAAAGAAAAAAAGTGTCGGCGAAGCAGTGTGGGTGGCCGATCGGAAAAGGCACCGGAAGTTCATTTATTTTTCCCGTAAAGAGTTGCCTTCCCCACTCCCCTCCTCCCCCCTCCTCTCCCCCTCCTCCGCCCCCGCTCTCCCTCTTTTTCCTCCCCCTCTTCTCTTCGGTGGGAGGCAGGTGCTCGGGCTTAGTTGCACTGGAAGGGGGTTGAGGTGTAAGTGTTTAGTTGAGAAGGATATGTGTATCCGGAAAATTTGCTGGAAGTCCATTCGCCCACAATCAGGTAATGGAGCGTAACGGACTCCGGCATGTGAATCTGACGTCCGAGGAGATGGTGAGTGTTATATAAAGAGTGTCAAATCAAGGTAGGAGATGGTGGTAGAGGCGAAAGAAAAGAAGTGTCGGCGAAGCAGTGCGGGTGGCCGATCGGAAAAGGCACCGGAAGTTCATTTATTTTTCCCGAAAAGAGTTGCCTTCCCCACTTCCCTCCTCCCCCCTCCTCCTCTCCCCGTCCCCCGCCCCCGCTCTCCCTCTTTTTCCTCCCCCTCTTCTCTTGGGTGGGAGGCAGGTGCTCGGGCTTAGTTGCACTGGAAGGGGGTTGAGGTGTAAGTGATATAGTTGAGTATCCGGAAAACTCGCTGGAAGTCCAAGGTGCTCGGGGTGCCTCAACTGGAAGTGGGTGGAGGTGTACGTCGTAGCTGAGTAGAATACAGTATCACGCTCCGCGGAAATCGTCGATTTCACGCAGGAAGGAGAGTTGTAGAGTATGGAATCGGGGACAACTTCAGAAGAAACGACAGATTCTGAGGCCAATGCTGGCTGCAGTACGGCAGGCTCATCTGAGTGTATGTATGTGTAAGTGGGTGTAGGTGTGCGCGCGCGCGTATGTGCATCTATCTCACTTCTCTCTTTACCTCTCTGGGTGTGGGTATGTCTGCGTGCGTTCTTTCTGTGCGCGTTCGCGTGCGTTTGTGTTTGTGTTTGCCGCGAGCGAGCGAGCGAGCGAGAAAGAGAGAGGATCCGACAGGTTAGTCCGGGCGCGCTTCTCTCGGTGAAGACGGCATGCACACACGCACGGAGACACACACACACACACACACACACAC